ATCCCTACTCGCCCTATCTATATTTTATATAGAGAAACGTAGTAGTGGCTTTCTATAAATGTAAAACTTAGCCACCTCCTAAATTCTCACACAACTTTCAAGCTTTGTTGGTTGTGGCGACTCTATCAAGGAAACCAACAAATGACTTGGTACGGAAGTGTCTACATCATGACAATCCTAAGTAGCAATTAGTTCAATATTTCTTTTCAAGTTTATCCGATGCTAATAAGGGCATTGTTGATGCTTCTTGTGGCGGAAGCTACATAGAAAGAAATGTAGATGAAATTTGGCTTCTTTTCGAAAAAATGAGTGAAAACTCAATGCATAGATCTTCATCTTCTAGGGGTGGTCACCTAGCAAATATGGGAGGCAAGAAAGCTCTAAATCAAATAGACTCTTCCATGGAAATTGCCGTCGAGGTCAAAAATCTTACTCAAATATTTGATAAATTCCTTTTGAATCAAAGTCCGGCAATTCAATCTTATTCTCATCCTTCCAATGAAATGCGCATAACTTGTTCTAGTTACACTCACCATACTTCAAATTGTCCTCTTGGACAAATCATCCCAAGTGAGTCTCAAGAACAAGCAAATGCCGCTTTCATTCATCAAGGGAATAACCCTTATTCCAATACTTACAATCCAGGGTGGAAAAATCATCCAAACTTTGCAAGGAAAAATCAAGGAGACGGTGCAAACCCTCCTCAAACTCAAGGTTACCAAGCAAAGTATGTTCCCCCACATCTCCAAAATCAAAATCAGAATTCTCAAGGTTACCGTTCTTCATTGTATCCTCAGAATGTGAATCAATACTCTCATCCTCAAGCATCAAATTCTCAATCTTATTCTCATCCTCAAGCATCAAATTCTCAATCTTACTCTAATCCAAATCAAGCGCCTCCTAAGCGTTCCACTTTTAAGGATAAGGTCTTGCAAGCCCGCCTTAGGTGATTTTCGAAAAGATAATCAATTGTTTCATTCTCACTCTCAATCAATTGCAAAGCTTGAAGCTCAAATCGGGCAATTAGCTAATTCTTTAAATATGAGAGAGAAAGGTAAGTTGCCTAGTCAAACTGAGACCAATCCTAAGGGGCAATTTATGGCGCAACCAAGTCCTTCATCAGAATTTTCTGGAAATGAGCAAGTTCAAGCAATTACTACCTTGAGGAGTGGTAGGAAAGTAGATAATAAGGTAAAGGTACCTAAAGAGGATAATGAACTGAAGCAACCAAGTGGTAGCATCCGTCCCATTCCAAATCCTATTCCTATTTCTTTGGATGCTAGTGGTTCCAAAAAGGACATTCCATCATCTTCATTATCATCTCCCCAATTCGAGAAGTCTTATAAGCCAAAAGCTCCATTTCCTCATGCTTTGAGAGAGACTTCATCATTTGGGAGACAAGAAGGAAAATTTCATGATATGATGGAAGTGTTTAAATAAGTGAAAATCAATCTTCCTCTTCTAGATGCAATTAGGTAAATTCCACCATATGCAATGTTTTTGAAGGACTTGTGCACACAAAAGAGGAAGAGCAAGGGAAGGGATGTTAAGAAAGTGTTTTTAACGGAACAAGTGAGTTCCATCATTCTGTCTAACACTCATCCTAAGTTTAAGGATCCGGGTGCTCCGACCACTTCTTGTGTTATTGGAAACCAAGAGATTTGTAGAGCTCTCCTTGATTTAGGTATAAGTATCAATCTCATTCCATATTCTGTTTACCTACAATTAGGATTAGGGGACTTGAAGCCAACATCGGTAGTGATCCAACTAGCCGATAGATCAATTAAAAACTGAGGGGAATTGTTGAGGACATTCTGATTAAGGTTGATAAATTTTATTTTCCAGTTGATTTTGTGGTGCTTGATATTGAGCCAGTCCCTAATCTTACCAATTACATTCCAGTCATCCTAGGAAGACCATTCCTTACCACTGCCAACGCCACCATTAATTGCAGATCCGGCATTATGGACATCTCTTTTGGTAACATGATGGTTAAGCTTAATGTTTTCAATGCGAGTCAACATCCCACAAATGAAGATGAGTGTTTCCTAGTGGATGTCTTGGATAAAACCATAAAAGAGACTCTTCCCTCTATTCTCTCTAGGGACCCTCTTGAGACGTGCCTTTGTGAAATGTTTGAAAATTGTGGTTTTGACACAGAAGGATCTATAAGTGAGGTGAATGCTTTAATGGACTCTGTGGCCACTTTGGATTGCCCACCTTGGAAAAGTAAGAAAGAACCTCTTTCTTCACTTTCTAGTACTCTACTAGTTCCTTCTCTCATCTCTCCTTCTACTTTTGAGCTTAAGTCTCTTCCATCAAATCTGAAATACGCCTTCTTAGGCTTAAAATAGATTTTTCCGGTCATCATTGCTTCAAATCTTGAAAATGACCAAGAGAATGATCTTTTAGAAGTGCTTAAAGCTAACAAAGAAGCCATTGGATGGAGTGTGGCTGACCTAAAAGATATTAACCCTTCATTTGTATGCATCGCATACACATGGAAGAGGATGAAAGGCCATTTAAGGATGCTCAAAGGAGATTGAACCCCAATATGAAGGGAGTTGTCATGAAGGAGGTTGTGAAACTTCTAGATGCGAGAATCATTTATCCTATCTCTGATTCCAAATGGGTTAGTCCAACTCAAGTGGTTCCTAAAAAGTCAGGAATCACAGTTGTTGAAAATGCTAAGGGTGATCTCATTTCAAAACGCACCGCCACTTCGTGGCGTGTTTGCATAGGAAGGACCATTTTCCATTGCCTTTCATTAACCAAATCTTAGAAAGATTGGGCGGGCAATAATACTATTGCTTCCTAGATGGTTACTCGGGGTACAATCAAGTGGCCCTAAATCCATTGGATCAAGAAAAGACCACATTCATATGTCATTTCGGTACATTTGCTTATCGATGGATGACTTTTGGATTGTGCAATGCTCTTGCCACTTTCCAAAGGTGTATGATGTCAATTTTTTCAGATATGGTGGAGAAGTATTTAGAAGTCTTCATAGATGACTTCTCGGTTTTTGGGTCCTCATTTGATTCATGTATCCAAAATCTCAAAAAAGTGCTTCAAATATGTTGTGAGACTGATTTGTGTTAAGTTGGGAAAAGAGCCATTTCATGGTTCAAGAAGGAATCGTGCTTGGACATGTCATCTCTAAAAGAGGAATAGAAGTAGATAGAGTGAAAGTTGAGCTGAATTCTAAATTGTCTCCACCTACTACGGTGAGAGAAATCCGTTCCTTTCTAGGACATGCCGGTTTTTATCGCCGGTTCATCAAAGACTTTAACAAAATTGCTAGACCCTTGTGCAACCTTCTTGCCAAGGAGACTCCATTTGTTTTTGATGAAGCATGCCTAAATGTTTTTCATCAATTTCGTACTCTTCTATCATCCGCTCCTATCATGCAACCTCCAAATTGGTCCTTACCATTTGAGATTATGTGTGATGCTTTCGACTTCGCAATGGGTGCTGTTTTGGGGCAAAGGGTAGGTAAGCTACCATGTGCTATATATTATGCGAGTAAGACTTTTTCAGGTGCCCAATTGAATTATTCTACCACCGAGAAAGAATTACTTGCCGTAGTATATGCCCTTGATAAATTTCGGTCATATCTCTTAGGATTAAAGGTAATTGTGTTTTCCGATCATGCCGCTCTTAGGCATCTTTTAATGAAAAAGGAAACCAAACCTCACTTGATAAGATGGATCCTACTTCTTCAAGAATTTGACTTTGAAATCAAGGACAAAAAGGGCTCCGACAATGTCATTGCCGATCATCTGTCTAGATTAATGGTTGAATCTTCTCCAAATCTTGAAATTCATGAGTCATTTCCAGATGAACAACTCTTTCAAATCTCAAATGGGACGTTGCCTTAATTCGCCGACATTGTTAACTATCTTGTAACCGGCAAACTTCTGATTACGTGGTCAAAACAAGAAAAGGACTGATTCTTTGCTAACATCCGGAAATACTATTGGGAAGATCCCATTCTATTTCGTTATTGCCCGGATAAAATCATTAAGAGATGTGTGCCGGAAAGTGAAGTTCCGAGCGTCCTTGTGTTTTGTCATACGCTTGTGGTGGGCATTTCAGTGGAAAAAAGACCGCTTTGAAGGTTTTTCAAAGTGGGCTCTTCTGGCCTACTATCCACCAAGATGCCTATAACTTTTGCAAGGTGTGTGTTCGGTGCCAAAAGTTAGGATCAATGTGAAAGAGAGATATGATGCATTTAACTTCAGTCTTCGTAGTTGAAATATTCGATGTATGGGGCATAGATTTTATGGGACCATTCCTAATGTCTTATGGCTTTCAATATATTCTCGTTGCCGTTGATTATGTGTTAAAGTGGGTTGAGGCTTGTGCTACTAAAATGAATGACCACTCCGTGGTAATTGCATTTGTCAAATCAAATATTTTTGCTCGTTTTGGTATGCCAAGGGTCATGATAAGTGATGTAGGAAAACATTTCTGCAATCAATTCTTGAAGAAACTCTTTTTGAAATACTCTTTCACACATAAAGTGGCCACTCCCTACCATCCCGAAACAAGTGGGCAAGTCGAGGTGTCAAATAGAGAAATCAAGCATATTCTTGAGAAAACTGTCAATCCGACCCGAAAAGATTGGTCAAGAAAATTGAACGATGCTTTGAGGGCTAATCGGACAGCTTACAAGACTCCAATAAGCATGTCTCCATATAGACTTGTTTATGGGAAGCCTTGTCATCTTCCGTTTGAGTTAGAACATAAAGTACTTTGGGCAATAAAAAGGCTCAACTTTGATCTTGATAAGGTTGGATAGGACCGTTTGCTCCAACTCAATGAGCTAGAAAAATTGAGAAATGATGCCTATGATAGTTCAAAAATCTACAAGGCAAGAACAAAAGTATTTCATGATAAACATATTGTGAAAAAATCCTTTAAGGTCGGTCAAAAAGCTTCGTTATTTAACTCTAGGCTCAAATTCTTCCATGAAAAGCTTTGAACCAAATGGGAAGGCCCTTATCAAATCATCTCCGTCTTACCTCATGGGGCAGTTAAACTTAAAAATCTAAAAAAATGAAGGGACTTTCAAAGTTAATGGTTAAAGGCTTAAACCATACACTGATGGACAATCTTTTCAAAGAAATGTGGAATCATCTTTCTAGCGACGTTAAACACTAGTTGTATCGAGTTTGGTTGTGAGTTTTTTTATTTTTTATTTTTCTTTTTGAATTTAAAAATTCATAAATGTACAAAAAAAAAAAAAAAAAAAAAAAAACAAATAAAATAAAATGTAAATTAACATACAACGAATTGTATTTCCCCCTTCTCATTGCACACGGTAAAGGGACAACTTTTTGTAAAAAAATATCGATCCCCCGCGCCCATCCATTCTTGCCCTACCTTCCATTCCCAAACACAGTTTTCTTCTCCTTCCTTGCGAAACCCTTAACCCACCTCCAATCCCAATTTGTTGGTTCGCTCCTCGCTGATCTCTTCTCCTCTTCCACGGTGTCACGGCTGTGATTTCCGGCGCCATGGTTCTGAGTTGTTTTCCGCCGACAGGTTGAGGTTCGCCCTTTGCGTCGCCTCTTTGGGTTTCGGTTGGGTGCGATTGGGGAAGTTGGGTTGCCGGTTTCTAGGTTGCCGAGTTTGAGGTTCGCCGAGTTTGGTTGCGAGTTTGTGAATCGTCGTTCTCTCCGGCGATCGCTGCTACATCGCCGGTTCCTTCCGGCGAGTTTCTGCATCGCCGGTTCCTTCCGACGTGTTTCTGAATCGCCGTTTCTTTCCGGCGTGTTTGTGAATCGCCGTGTTCTCCAGCGATTCTGGCTAGGTTCGTCTCTGTCGCGTTGCTGGGTTGCGGGTCTCGCCGGCGATTTCGGCTGGGTTCTCTGTCGCGCTTCTGGGTCGCTTTTCTCCGGCGATTTTGACTTGTTCTTCCGGCGAGATTGTGCAGCGATTTTGGCTGGATTCCTCTTTGATTCCGGTTGGTTTCTTCAGCGATTTTTTTTTATTGGTTTCTTCTCCAGCGAGCTTGTGGGTTGCCGTTATCCTTGCGGTTAATTGTTTCGGGTAAGTGCACCCAAATCCTTTACGGTTAATTGCTTTGGTTAATTGACATTTATCATTTATCATCCATCATCCATCATAGTGCTCCAAAGATGAGAGAATTTGATGAGAGAATTATCATATTTTTCGGACTATCCGGGTGCCATTGTTGTGATAATAATTTTCATGTTTGGATCATGTCAAATCCAATTTGCATCCCGAAACTCTTTCCCCTTCTTTGTTGTGTACTAAATCCAGAGTTCTGCCTTTGTTTTAAGAGTACTGGAATTGTGATAAAAAGAGTTGAATAGATGATTAAAAACAAAAAAAAAAAAAAAAAAAAAAAAAAAAAAAAAAAAAAAAAATTCATTGATGATTTAAAAAAAAAAAAAAATAAATAAAGAAGTTAAATTGATGATTACAAAATAAAAAAAATAAAAAAATAAAAAATAAAATAAAATACAAATTCCCAGTGGACGAATTGGTTGTTGAGTTGTGGTTGTTGTTGAACTTAGATTGTGCATGGGTAAGTGCTTGAGTTGGTTAATTTATTTATTTATTTATTTATTTTTTTGCACTTGAATTGGTTATTAAAAAAAAAAAAGTTGCATTGATGTTTTAAAAAAAAAAAAAATCACAGTGGCCCAATTTGGTGATTGGAAAATTAGAGTTGGATGCTTCATTTGACATTGAATGTCTTGTTGGTTGATTTGCAGATTTTGGTTTATCATTAGAGTAGGGTTATTGAATTTGAACTACTTCTCATATATTTCAATCTTTAAGAAATGACGTGTGTTCCTTCTTCCAAACGTTTCAAACCCTCCAAAGAGACTCCCAAAGCTGTGTGGCGCAACAAACGTCTGGATTTTAAGACTACCTTCGACATTGAAGGTACGTTTCGCCACAATGACACGACTGAATGGACAATGTTAGAATTTGAAAGGAGGCGTTTGTCCTGCCTTTTTAGACCAGCTACAGAGGTTGCATATCCCCGTATTGTGCGCCTGTTTTATCATAATATGGAATGGTTTAGTGACGCGCCAGACATATTAGCTACAACCATTGATGGTGTCCGAATTCACTTTGGTGTCTTGGACATAGCCCAGGCATTGGGGTGTCCACATTTGTGCCCCACTGACTTACTAGCAGAGAATGGGGAGCTACGTTTTATCAAATTCTCGGAAAAACCTACTGTGCATTCTATTGTTAAGGATATGTGTGACGGGAAGTATGGTGACAAGAAGAAGAAGAATTGTGCCAACAAGTCCTCAATACCTAAGGATATGTGGTTTTTCGATCAGGTTCTAAAACGGAATGTTTTTCCAATAGGTCATAAGGTACAGCAAGGGCAAGAGTTCTTAATAGCATTGTATGCTACCCACACTGGAGCATGGTTTTCTATTCCAGCTTTCATCTTGAACCAAATGCATAAATTTTGGAAGCATTAAGTGGCGAGTGGGGATCCGAATGCAAAAAAATGGAACCTTCCGTTTCCGTATCTTATTACCCAGCTCCTTGTCCTTCGGCGCTTCGTGGTTGATAATGATGAGATCTCTGAGGCTCAACGGGTGACTTTTGGGCTAGCACAATGGAACTTAAGCCTTTCTCATATGCCTAGTGCCAAGAAGGAAGGTGATGGCATGGCAGCAGGTGATAGAAAGGATGTGAATGCCCTAGTTGAGGACGTCGTTGGGAAGTCTGAGGAGCAGATTACTGATGGTGCTAGTTATGAGATAGCACAGGTTGTGTCACCACATGCAGAGGAGTCTGCAGGGGTAACTAGGACAGAGTTCAATGCCATTGTGGAGCAGTTGAAGACCGAGTTGGCTGAATCTGAGGAACAGCGTCGAGTCGAGCATGCTGAGCTTATACAGCAGCACACCACTACCCAGCGCATGCTACAAGATCTATATGAGATTGTTTCATTGAGTCTCCCACGATCTTCCACATTGCCGCCTGATGTATGATTTCTCTTGTCTATGTTAGGTTGTTTAGATTTTTCTATTTTGAGTGAATAGGATTTTATGTGGCTATAACCAGATTTTTTGTGATTTAGAGCGGGCTATTTTAGGAACCTGTAATTCTGAGTTTTGATGATATATTTTTGGTTTCATTCATCCATATATGCTTGTTTTTGGCTTTTGTTGCTCATATATATATATATATATATATATATATATATATATAAGCAATACTAAATAAAAAATAATAATGAAAATAAATAAAAAATAATAAAAAAATAAAAATTGCAAAGTATCATTCCGTCTTGCTAGAGACGTTAAACTTAGCCAATTATTTATTTATTTATTTATTTGTAGGTTGTATATACATGTTCTTTTTCTTTGTTTCTTTTACAATAAAAATGAAACAAAAATAACAAAAATAAAAAACAAACAAAAATAACAAAAATAAAAAACAAACAAAAATAAATAAATAATAAATAAATAAATAAAATTAAAAAATATGTGTTACTAGTATGCCCTTATGACTGGTTATGAATGTTTTCAGATTTTATTAAGGGTTTCATCTCAAATATCTTTGCATTGTGTTATATATTATTTTGAACTGTATGAATTACTTATCCCATGTGATATTTGATGCGAGTTTGCTAGTATGGTTATACAGTTAGATTTTTGCATCCAAGTTTGGGGGAGACATCTTTCCTACTGGATCATTGCTGGATTTCATAATCTTTGCCATCACGGTATACTCTTTCCATTATTTTTCATTATTCTCATTGCACATTGAGGGCAATGTACGGTTTAAGTTTGGGGGTAAGGTCATCATGATTCATTTTATTTTAAGTTAAGCTTTAAATACATGATGAGATTTGAGATGTGTTTAGTAATGATTTCGAACTTTTGAAGTATAGTGCCTTTGAAAAGCAAGTTGTTAGCATCTAATACTTCTTGTATGCTCTAGGATGCTATTTAGGGGTAAATTTTTAATTTTTGATATCATGTTTGCTCTTGTGGTACACATCATCTTGTTGGTTGAAAATGCTTTGAGAATTTATTCTAGAATTCTACACTTGCTCTTGCGCGCACTAGCATTCAATTTGTGGGGTACATGCTTAGTTGATTATTGTTTTGGTTTATCCCAATTGAGTTAGTATGCTTTGAAAGTTTTCATTCTTGATAAAATGACCTTACAAAGAAAAGAAATAAAAGCACTCACCAAAAAAAAAAAAAAAAAAAAACTACATTTTTTTAACATGTCAACTAATTAAAAAGGAAGACAAGGAAAGAATGTAAGATGTATGATTAGTTTGAGTTTGTAGCCTAGCCATTCCGAGTCATTACGCCCTTAGGAGTGTCTTTACACTTAACGCCCTAAGACCATCTGGTTTGAGAGTCGTTAGCTCAATGCTTATTACATGGTGTGATTAAAGAGCTTAAGGAACTTGGACATTGCACATGGTCATACATAAAAAAATAAAAATAAAAATAAAAAATAAAAAATAAAATGAAATCAATTAAAAAAAAATGTTTGATTGAATAACAAGGTTCATTCAATGTTTTGATATCTGGTACTATATCTGTAAGCTACATTGAAAGTAAGGCTATGTCATTACTTTGATTTACTAGGATAGCAATACATTTTGATGCCGGTTCACTCAAAAAGGATGATAGAATTGATTCAATTTGCATGATTAACTTGCTTGATGTGTGGAAGACCTTTTTACTTACATGATATTGAAATGTTGAGAATAGCTTAGAAATGGCAGAAATTTGCATATTTGAAGTAGTCTACTTTCAACACTTGTTTGATATGTGTCGTTACTTCTCAAGTAAGAAAGACTTGTTGATGTTTGTGGGTATCATTTCTAGAAACCCTCACGAGACTTCACTCGTCCACTAGGGGTAACCTAAGGGTTTAAAAGGCTTGTTGCATATACTAAATGTAACCGTGATCCCTACGAAAGTAGTGTTATCTTTATTTGTTTTATTAGTTCATAGTTGTATATATGTTTGTTTCATTCTCATATACTGTAGTTCATTGCTAGGGATTAGCAATATCTAAGTTTGGGGGCGTGATAAGTGCTTAAATGTTGCACATTTCAGCACCTAAACTAGGGTATTTTAGTCATTGCATCTATCTTATTTTTATGTTTTAGTTCTAATTTATGTTTTTGGCAATTTCAGGTCAATAAAATTCAAATTGACTAATTTTGGTTCACTAAAGCCTTTTTAGAATCAAGCAAAAGCATTCAGAAAAAGTTCAGAAAATGGCAAAAAGAGGTCGCGGTCCATTACTCGTATAGCGTGTTTATTCTTCAAAAGCGGTCAATCTCGAGCCTTTGATGATGTTCCCAAAGATGAAGAAGCAAACCAATTAGCCCGGGGCCAAAATGGAGCTAAAAAAGGCTTAAAGGAAATTTCCAACTCTAAGGGTGGGGGATCGATCCCCCACTATTCACAGAACTAAAAATGCCCTTGGGGGATCGATCCCCAAGGCTGTGGGATCATCCCCCAAGCCCTGGCAGTATTACGAGATTTTGTCCTTTGTGCTTATTTGCTTGTAACTTATGGGCTTTAATAATGTTTGTTACTTAAGGAAAACAAGCCCATTATTTTTAGGGTTAGTTTTTCATTAGTTTTGAGAGAGTTTTATTTTATTTTTTTTATGAGGAAGTTTTTCTGTATCGTGATATATTTTATTCTCTCTGGAAAACGCAAAAGAGGAGAAAGGAAGAACAAGCTCGGGTGAGGAAGAAAAAGCTCAGAGATGATGAATCCAAGGATGGAGATTGTTCTGTCTTCAACTCCATCAACCTTGAGTGGCTAATTCTTCTACTTAGGGTTGGATAAACCCTAAGCATGTAACTTATTCTTTCTTTTTTCATACTTTTTGGGTATTTAGTATTTAATTATTGTATAGGTTTGAAATATATGAATCAATTCTTCCAAATGTTTATTTGTGTTAATCATGTGTTGTCTTATTTGTGATTGATGAATAAACAAGCTTTATACTTGAATTCTTTGTAAATTGATTCTTATGATGTCTATACCTGGTGATATTTAGCTGTAGTTATGAATCAATTTAATGGATATTGCTTACACTAGATGGATTGCTCTACAAAATTAGGTTAATTTCTTGTTTAATTAGTTAATTTCACGTTTAGTTAGTTTAATTTAAGGTTAATTAGTTAAATTGCAATTTAATTCCTAGGTAAGTAAATCATCCATGCCTGTGTTTGAAATCCATGCTTATTGTCACAATTGCATTATTCTCTAGATTAATGTGTGTTAAAATTGCAACTTGAATTGATAAATCATACTTTGAATTGGTGAATTGCACTACACTTAATTTAATTGTCGTTAAATAGTTAATTCATGCTTGAAATTGATGGTTTACACTTTTCATTGCAGTTGTTAGCCACATTTAGATTACACATTATTATTTCTCCAATTAGTTGAAAGTGAGTGAGTCAGGGAATGTGCTTAGTGGTGAATCCTACACCCTAAGTCTCTTTCCAATCTTTTAGACTCTACTCTTTATTTACATCATTTAGTTTAAAATTAGTCTAATCACAAAACCAAACCTTTTTAGCAATCACATAAGCACTAAAGTATAATTCAATTTTGGAAAACCTATAATTGTTTAGATCTTTTGGGACGATCCCTGCTCACTTCATACTCCATAGTATAAGTGTTTAGTGGTTTTATAAATTTTAAAATATGGTGCCCACTTGACATTATTTCTAAACCTAAACTGTTGTGCATTATTTTGTGTACACGCTCAGTCGCACCAGAGGAGGCGATCCTTGTCTTTTGAGGTAGGGGACCATGTATTTCTTAAGATTTCTCCGTGCAAAGGACTTCTGAGATTTCGACAGACTGGGAAGTTGTCTCCTAGGTTCATTAGACCATTTGAGGTATTGGAGCGTGTCGGTGAAGTTGCTTATCATTTGGCGTTGCCGCCAGACCTGGATAGGGTTCACGACGTCTTTCATGTCTCTATGCTGAGGAAATACAAGCCGGACCCATCACATGCTTTAAGGTGGACTGATGTGGTTGTTGACGAGGATGTGACCTACGAGGAAGGAACGGTCCAGACTCTTGATTCATGGGAGCAAGTCTTGCAGACCAAGACCATTCCATTGGTCAAGGTCTTATGGAGACACCACGGCATTGAGGAGGCTACATGGGAGCTCGAACATGAGGTTCGCTCTCGGTATTCCCATTTGTTCTCTCTTTCAGGTATGATTTGATTTCGGGGATGAAATCATTTTGAGGAGGGTAGGTTGTAATGACCCGGTCATTTTCCTTCCTTTCATTTTTTCGGTAATTTCCTTTTTCATCTTTTTCACTATTTCGTCCTTTTCTCATTTTTCATTTTTACTTACATAACCTCACTTTTTGTGCTCAGATTTGATTTCGACCTTACATACATCCATGATATTTAAATTCCATGAAATCTACATTTTTACTTTTGTAGAAAAGCATCTTAAATGTTTACTTTTCTTATAAAGGGTATGGATACATAACTTTTTAGTAATTTTCTTAACTTTTGGGGTTTTAGTGTAATTATGCAAAGTAATTATTTTTCATCTTAAGGACCATTTTGTAATTTAATTTGGAAGATATTTTCAAAAAGGACCTTTTTGCAATTTTCAAACAATGTGACAAGTATCACACTTTCATGGTGCCACTTGTTGATCTTGCGGTGAAACCACTTGGAGGCCTTGTTTGATGACACATGGAGGGTCGAGATGCACCCATTTGTTGGCCTAGGATAGGAGCACTTGTTGGCATGGATGGTTGACAAGTGTAGGCTTGATATTAAATCTTGGAAGTTTACTTAGATTCATGACAAGTGTAGGTCTCACCTTTAGTCTTACAAGTGTGTGTGTGTGAGGTATTGCAAGAGCACCTAGTGAGTGGAGAATCCCACCACATTTAACTTAGGGTTTTCACATTTTATTTCATTCATCTCTTTCCTCTCAAGAACCCTAACTTGGCTACCATTGGAGCAAAGCTTGATCCAAGGTTTTAAGCTCTATTTTGGTGCCCTTCCACTCACCTTAGACCCATAAGCTTGGAATACTTTATCTTTTTCTCACTCTCCTCAATAAAACCCTAGCTTGGTTTCCCATTTTGAGCTTGGTTGCTTTGGTTTATAGAGATTCAATTCTCTATTTAGGTAGGAGGTGTTCTAAACTATGTTTTTGATGTTTTATAACTTGGTACAAATGAACTACATATCTTTAATCTAAATCTTTAAATTGATAGTCAATGATACCTTGCATGAAATTAAGCTAAGACATGATTTTTGGAAAGGCCATGACTTGATTCATAATTTATGTTAATTTGAAGTTATTTAAGGTTGTTTTGAGATCTAGAGGAATTAAATTAATTAATTTTCATTTATATGTTCTTATGACTTAAATCAAGTTTTGAAGTGATATATGTAATGATCATGATATGTTCTTGAACATATATTAAATTGAGTATGTGTGGATGAGAAATGAAATCTAGAGAAATTAATTGTTTTGTTTAATTAATTTATATCCTTGTTGTATTAATGATTTGAGTATGTATTTTATGCCATTTGCATGTTTAAATTATGATTCTAGACTTGTACTATAATTGTGGGATTGTATTCTTTATATTGAAGGGCATTGTTATAAAGAGTAACAAGTTGCACAATGATTATTCAACATTCTTCATGCCATGGTAGTTGTGAACTTAGGGCATGTATTGTATTTCCAAAATTAGTTTGTGCATGGTAGATGGCTTTATATTGTATATATATGTTATGTTAATACATATATGTTCTTGTACAAATTGTTGATTTTGGAAACTTGGGATGTCGTTGTTATGACTAAGGCTAAGGCATGGTTGTAGTACGGGGGATTGTCCCTCTACAAGTCTAGTGCACACATAGGGAGGTTACCCAAGGGCTAGTAACCCTAAAGTAACTATGGTGTCGGTTTGATCCGGCGTGATGTCCAAGTATCCACTTTAGTTGATTTCGCACTTTAATTTCCAACTTGATAACCTTGTGATATTTGCATCTTATTATGATATATTAAAAGTTCCAATGTCATTTTAATAGCATGGACTAAATTCTATTGAATTGCAAATCTTGTAATAAGTTAAACTTATGCATGCTCATTCTCTACGAGTAAACTTGTTTACTCACCCCGAAGTTACCGGGTGTTTTTCAAGTAAAGAAGTTTTATTGTGGGATGCACAACACTCTTAGACTTGCTAGAATTCTTAGAGTATTTTTGGTGACATTGAATATGCACTTGTTAGCATATCATGATCTTTTTTGGTGTATTGTATAAAAAACTTGTATTTACTGTTTAAGCTATGTAATGTGCACTTAAGTGCACCTTTTGCCACTCTTTAGATGTATATGTAATGAGGCCAAGGGCCAAAAACACTTATCTGACATGTATGTTAGTTTAACTTCATAACTTGTTTAGGGACTATAAGGGATTTCATGCATTGAAGGGTCATATTTTGCATATGACATGTCATGAGGCCGTAAGCCATTGTAGCGCGTCTACTTTATCATTTTACGTATGCGTGCATGTTTACATTTGAAAAAACTCCGAAGTTCCAACTTTTGAATTATTTTTGGATGGTTTATGAGAATTTAAGCAAAATTCATGCATTGGGATATCATTTTAAGCTTCATTTTGATTTAACATGTTTTAGATGCTTGCATGAGGCTAAGGAATGTTTTAAAACTTATTTGAATCAAATGAGAAGCATGCATAGCCTTAGAAATGGACCAAGCACCTTCCCCATTCTTTACAGCAGCTTTTTCTACTGCAGCAGGGTGCATCGGTCGGCTGATAGCAGAAATCAGTCGGCTAACACATATTGAGTTTACATTCCAGTAGCCTTTTTGGGATTTTTGGCATTTCAGTTGGCTAATGATTGGGGTTCGGTCGGCTGATGATTGGGGTTCGGTTGGCTAATGATGAGGGTTCAGCCAGCTGATCCTCCCCGGAACCTTTCCCTCTTGATTTTCTTAGACAGCTTTGTTGCATCAAATTCAGAGAGCCATAACTCCTTCATTTCTAATCCAAATCAGGTCATTCTTAAGTCTAAACTCAAGAGCTTGAAGTTAGCTTTCCAATGGTATCAATAAAGCAATAAATTTCCAATCATAGTGAGAGTTATTACAATTTTAGTGAGATAGGGTTGTGGTAACTCCTAAACAGAGAAGGCAATTTTGTTCTAAATTCATTTCTTTTCCTTCTGGACTCCGAATCAGGTAATTTTTGAGTCTAAATTCATTAATTTTTTGTTGTCTTTCCAATGGTATGCTTAGTAGAACCCACTTCTATTTTGGAAAAGACTGTTTTACCCCTAGTCTCATTCTTGTCCATTTTTGAAACATCGCTTCCGCAATTGTTATCTTTGGGTTCCGTGACCTCGTTGAGGGTCACATTGGTGTCTTATTGACATGTAGTATCTCTAAAGACCATTGTTTTACCTTTTGCATCCGCATGTTGATTCATTGTTGGATTTACGTTCGGGTCACCGCTGACGCACCGGGTTAAATAAAAACTTGGGTCGTTACATCAGATCTTTCCAGGCTTCATCAACTACCTGGAGAGTCAGTGATGAGCTTCCTTTCCAGATTCAGGAGGGCTAAGTACAAATGTAATCTATCTTTGCAGCCATAAGAATATGTGAAGATGGCTGTGAACGACCTAGAATTTGAACTTCGTAAGAAGTTTAAAGGAGTACAATTCCATGACTTATTTGACTTAGCCGACAGAGTGGCTAAGTATGAAGAGCTCCTTCATGAGGAGCAAGACCGGAAGAGCTCCTCCAAGGGCACCTACTATCGTGATCCTAACTATGAGGTGTATACCACTAAAACTGATGGGGAGTTGGAAATAAATGTAACCGAGCTTAACATAAAGAAGGCCTATACTTGTGAGGCTTTGGCAAAACCAAAATCAACCACGGCTA